TTGAGAGCTCCAGCCAGCCTCCTGCCTGCCTGATTGGCTCTCAGCTAGAGAACTCCTTGGCCCTGAGCAGCAGAGAGGGGAGTTTTAAAGCATTTTGGGGAAATGTGCCACAATTTTGCCTCCAGTTGTGCCCTCTGAATGTGTCCAGGAGCTGTATGCTCCAAGGCATCTGTGAGGACAGCTTTTCTGCATCTACGTTGTTCTAGGCTGGTTGGAATTTTATTTCAATGTTACAGCGCAAAACAAAGCATTTGTCACAAAGCAGTTCTTGGCAGACCAGGGACCTTTCATTTGTTGCTAGTCAGGATGCTAGTGGTTATGTTGGTCCCAAAGAATCATGGGTACTGGATAGATCAGCTTTCCAAACCTGGCACTGTTCAGACACTTTGGTCCACTCCTGTCAGCCATAGCTAACACTGCCTTTGATCAGGAATGCTGGGAATTATAGTCCAAATCCTCTGGAGGGCACCAGATTGGGGAGGGCTGGAACAGGGTGAGGCTGCAAGTCTACATCTGCTTGCTTGGAAACAAGCAGTGAAATCAATGGGAATAACTTTTGAGTAGATTTGTGAAGGCGTTGCTGTAAATAACATAGCTGGAAAGACAAAACTATTGTATTTTATTGGCCCAACTGCTTGTTCAAAGATTTTTCCAAGCTTGTCAACCTCCCTCACACCCTGCAGAATTCCCTCATCATATCTAAATATGCATGAGATCACATCCTTAACCATTCAATCTGCATTTTCATAACTGTTGTCCTTAGAATTGATTTTTATTCTTCCTTTTAAAATGTGCATGTATTTTTAAGGACTTGTGATTTTATACACTATTCTGTTTTATTTGGCAATTGTATATCACCTCATGAGGTCTTTTATATCCTGAAAGTTGGCTTGGAAATGTTTTAAATAAAGAAATCAAAGAAACTGCTTGCAGAGGATTCCTGATCAAGATAAAATCCATAAGCATATAAAAGGACAAACCCTGCTGAGAAAAAATCAACATGGCTTTCAAAAAAGTAAGTCCTGCCTCACTAATCTTTGAGTTCTTTGAGAGTATCACTAAACACACAGACAGGGATGATTCAGTAAATTTCTGTTTACTAGGACTTCCAAAAGGCTTTTGGCAGACTCCCTCATCAAGGCTCCTGAGCAAACTTAGCAGTCATGGAGTAAGAGGGGAAGTCCTGGTGAAGGAACAGAAAACAGAGAGTGGGAATAAATTGTAAATTCTCTCAAAGGTCAGGCGCAAATATCAGGGTTCCACAAGTATCTGTATGAGGACCGATGCTTTTCAGCTTATTCTTACATGATCTGCAATTAGGAATGAACAGAGATGTCAGCTTTGCTCATGATGCCAAACTATATAGCATGGAGAAAACCAAACCAAGCTGGTAAGGACATTCAGAAGGATCTCTCCAAACTGGGAGAGTGGGCATCAAAATGGCAGATGCAGTTCAGTTAAGCAAGTGTACAGTAATGTACATCAGGGTTAAAAAAATCCCAACTTCAATTATAATCTGATGGGATCTGAGCTAGTACTGAAAGACCAAGAAAAGGATCTTGAGGCTGTGATGGACAGCTCAATGGAAATGTTGATCCACTCACTGCCCAGCTGCTGTGAAAAAGGCAAACTCCCTGATAGGCATAATTAGGAAAGGCATTGAAAGTAAAACTTCTAGCATCAGACTGCAATTATACAAATCTTTGGTGTGACTGCTCTTAGAATATGGTGTACATTTCTGATCCCATCATCTAAAAAGGCTCTATAGACTTGGAAAAGGGCAACTAAATTGATCAAGGGGTTGGAGCAACTTTCCTATCAGGAGAAGTTTCAATAGTTGAGCATGTTTAGCTTAGAAAATGGCTAAGGCAAGACATGCTAGAGATGCACAGAACTACACTATATGGAGAAAGGAAAGAGGGCAACATGGTTCTTTCTCTCTCATAATAATGCAACCTGGGGTCAACTCATGGGGTAATTGGTGGAAGCTTCAGTGGTGCTTACTTCTGGCTAATTGTGGATAGGACTGAGGCCAAAAGGAAAACAAAATCCATAATGCATACATTCACAGTATAAATGTCATAGTTCCTGAGATATATTTCAGTTAAACATCAGTATCTGAAATACACAATTTTGACTTGACCAATGTTTTTCAGTACTCTCCATGGCTTAAATATGCCTTGTGTTGGGAATGGTTAGGATTGGAATGGGGATTACAGTTGGGGTCCATAATTTTGAATCTCAGTAGCGTTGATTATACTGTTGGCACCATGTATGTGGAACTGCAGTTTCACTATTATTTTGTCTGGATGAATCAGTCCAAAGAACAGGGCTGCATTCCTGGTTTTGTCTCTGCCCTTCCTGTGAGTGGGGCTGTGGGAATGCTGGAGGCATCGCCCTTTTAAGATGCCCCATCCCAGGAGCAGTGCCTTTACCAGTAGCTTCCTTGAAGAAGCAAAAAGGTACACAAGCAAAATGTGCAGCAAAAGTTGGTGTAAAGGAAAGGGGGGAGGGAGAAGGAGGTGGGGGGAAGAATCCAGGCCCTGCACCTGACTTTCGTTCCAACCAGTTGGCCCAGCAGCTACTGGAGAAGTCAAATAGGGAGGTGGGGGTGGGGAAGGATGTGTTTTTTAGCAAGGGAGAATGAATCATGCATGCCGGCTAAGGCTGCTGTCCAGCGTAGCCTGTACTGTTCTGCTAGCCCGCACATGCTATATAGCAACCATATTATTTAGCAAAGGCTTCTTCATTTCAGAAATGACAACAGCAACACCACACCCTCCCCTGTCCTGGAAGTCAGCTCTGAGAAAGGATGGAAAAGCAGTCAGATCTGTGCTTTCACAGTATATTGTGGCACTGAATTTCCTTGTTTTCAGCACTGGAATCTTACTTGTGCCAGGTCAAATCATGCATCTGTCTAGGCTAGTGTAGCTCAGCCTGCCTGGCAGAAGCTCCTAGGGCCTTTCCCACCACTGCCTGAGGCCTGTTGAATTAGCAACTGGACTGGAAAAGCCTTATTGCATGCAATGCGTGTGCTCCATGTTCTCTGGCTTTCTTTCTCTCCATTTGCTTCATATTTCCCTACATTGCTGCCCCTGGCACTGAGCTGGTTGCCATCACAAGGCAGGGCTGCTGCTGAGGATAGGCATGGCTGGGCACTTGGAATATTGTGCCCGGTTCTGATCACTGCATCTCAAGAAGGATACTGCAGAAAGGTACAGAAAAGGAAAATCAGAATGATGAAGGAGTTTGCACTGATCTTTGAGACAGGATAGATTTTTTTTAAGCTTAGAAGAAAGGTATGGGGGATGTGATGAAAGTGTATACATATATGCTTAGCATATAGAAAGCAGGTAGGCAGTTATTTCTTTCCCTTACTCATAATACTAGATCCTGGGGTCATCTAGTGAAACTGAGTGGAGAGACTGGGAAATTCAGCACAGAAGAAAGGAGCACTTCTTCACAGTGTTCATGGTCAATCAGTGAAAATTGCTACCAGAGGATGCTGTGATGGCCACCAGCTTGAATGGCTTCAAAACTGAATGAGACATATTTAAGGACTTCCAGTATTAGTGGCAGCATGCCTTTCAATAGCAGCTGCTTGGGAACAGGAGGGAGATGGTCCTTTGTTCTGACCCAGGAGAGTGCTCCTTAGGTTCTTCATTACTTTGGGCACCAGGCATGAAATGGCTCCACCCACCCACACCCATCACCCTCAAAGCTATCTGTATGGTCTCATTGCAACTTGCTTTTTGGTGGACTGCAAACACTTCTTGTTTCAACAGGCTTTTGGGAAACAGTAAACAAAATCTGTTTATTGCTGCCTTTTCCTCTTTTATTTATGCATTATTTTCTTTCTTTCATCTTTCTCAGTCTGCTGCTGTTATTAGGATCTGTGGATGGTTTGGGGCATAGAAAAAGATTAATTGGCATAAAAATGCACAAACAGATGTTGGTATTTTTAGGTTGGTGTTATGTTGGTTGGTTTGCATTATCACCATTAACTGCCATTATAGAAAGCCAGCTTCTAAATGCTAGTAATGAATAGATAATAATAATAATAATAATAATAATAATAATAATAACGATAACGTTTTTCACCAATTGCAGATGTCTGAGAGTTATTTGTGATTACAAAGGAGTGCAGAAAAGACACGATTGCTTCATATATTTCAGGGCTAAGCCTTGGCATGGAGCCATAAATCTAAGTGATCCTTTTTCTTACAAAGGTCAAATAGTATAGGAAAGTGTAGGCCTATCAGCGCAACTTCACTTTCCTTCTTGGGTTCCCAGCTATTGGCATATAGAGTCATACCTGCTGGAGGTAAGCATGTAGCCATCAGAACTAATAGCCACTGAAAGCCTTATCATGGATGGATTAGTTTCATTCCCTTGAAATACCTTCCAAGTTGGCAGGTATTAACGTCTTGTCGAAGGGAATTCCTTAGTTTAATTATGTGCTTTGTGAAGAAGTAAATGCACTGCACGTCCTAAATGTCGTTGGCAAGATACAGCGTGCTGTAAAACCAGCTTTGTGGAGAGTGACTGACTAGAGAAGCACGACTGCACTTTGCACATGCTCGGTGTCATTTTGTCGTGCTCCGGGACGAATCGCAGCCCCGCTGGAAAACAGGCGCCGAGAGTTACCGTTTCAATGATCTGCTGCCACAGTGGGAAAACGCAGCGCTCTGGAAGAAAGGGGAGGGCCCCACCGCGAGGCTGCTTCTCTTGCAGTAAGCAGAGCGCGGCTCCTTTAAGAGCCGCAGGTCTATGGAAATGAGCCGCGCCGAACTGCTGCCGCAGCGGAGCCGAGCCGGGCTTGCTTGGCAGGCGGCGAGTCCTTCGTGGGCTGCGGGGAGAGCGCACGCGGCGGCAGCGGACCTGCTTGGGCTGACCGGGGGAGCCGGCGGGCGCCTCGGCCCGGATCCCCCGCCTGGGATGAAGCGCATCTGCTGACCGACGGACGGACGGAACGGAAGCCAGACTGCGGGCGGCGGGAGATGGGCGGCGGCTGCTGCGCCCCGAGCCGGGCTGTGCTCCTGCTGCTGGCGCTGGGGGTCTCCCGCGCCCGAGCCGAGAGCGCCGCGCCGCACGCTCGCTGCGCCCCGCACAGTGGCCCTGAGCTGCCGCTGCGGCCGCCAGACGAGCAGCCCGCCTGCGCCGCGCCGCCGCCGCTCCTGTGGCTTTGCCCGGCTCCCCGTCCCGCCCGCGGCCTCTGGGCGCACCTGCTCGGGCCGCGGTGCGGCGGCGGCGGCGGCGGCGGCGCGGCGGGCGAGGACGGGGAGGTCTTGTTGCTGCTGAGCCGCCTCCTGGTGGCCCCAGAACCGGGCAGCCGGTTCCGCAGGGGACGCAGCCGGGCGCTGTGCTTGGCGCCGAGCACCCGCGTCCCTTTGCCGCCCGCTAGCTCGTGGGGAGGCTGTCCGCTGACGTGCAGGGTGCAGAGCGCTGGCGGCCCCGGCCACGCGGGGAACCGGGCGCCTCACCCGCAGGGGGAGCTGCTCCTGCCCCCGCGGCCCGTGTGCCTCCGGTCGGGGCACCCGCTTCGCCTGGGGCTCCTGTGCCATCGCTGCGAGGAGAAGGGCGAGACCTTTGTCCACTGGAGCCTGGGCCTCGGCTCCTCAAAGCACAATATGGGGAAGTTGTGGCAGTCGGAGGAAGGCCTGGGCAGTAGCCGGAGGAGGAAGCGCAATGCCAACGGCAGCCCTCAGTTCCAGATGCCCACCTACCAAGTGTCGGTACCGGAGAACAGGCCCGCCGGGACCCCTGTGATCCTGCTGCGGGCCCTCGACCCAGATGAGGGCGAGTGGGGCCGCTTGGACTACTCCATGGATGCGCTCTTCGACAGCCGCTCCAACAGCTTCTTCGCCATTGACCCACAGTCAGGAGCAGTGACCACAGCTGAGGAGCTGGACCGGGAAACCAAGAGCACCCATGTGTTCCGTGTGACGGCCACAGACCATGGCACACCCCGTCGCACAGCCCTGGCGACTCTCACGATCACGGTCAGTGACACCAACGACCACGACCCTGTCTTTGAACAGCAGGAGTACAAGGAGAGCATGCGCGAGAACCTGGAGGTGGGCTATGAGGTGCTGACCGTGAGAGCCACAGATGGGGATGCCAGCCCCAATGCCAACATCCTCTACCGCATCCTGAATGGAAACGGGGCCAACCGGATCTTTGAGATTGACCCCAAGTCTGGAGTCATCCGAACCAATGGCCTGGTGGACCGAGAATCTGTAGAGTCCTATCAGCTGATAGTGGAAGCCAACGACCAAGGCAAAGACCCAGGGCCACGCAGTACGACGGCCACGATCCACATCACTGTGGAAGATGACAACGATAACTCACCGCAGTTCAGTGAAAAACGCTATGTGGTGCAAGTGTCTGAGAATGTGGCCTCCAACACTCACATCCTTCGGGTAAATGCAACAGACCGTGACAAAGGCAGCAATGCCCTCGTGCACTACAGCATCATGAGTGGCAACACCCGTGGGCAGTTTTACATTGATGCCCAGACAGGTAACATTGATGTAGTCAGCCAGCTTGACTATGAGATGAATAAGGAATATACCCTGCGCATTAGGGCCCAGGATGGAGGAAGACCTCCTCTCTCCAACATCAGTGGGCTGGTGACCATCCAAGTACTGGACGTCAATGACAATGCCCCCATCTTTGTCAGCACCCCTTTTCAGTCTACCGTGCTAGAGAATGTGCCCGTGGGCTACTCTGTTATCCACATCCAAGCCATCGATGCAGATTCTGGTGAGAATGCTCGACTGGAGTACGCTCTGGTCGATACCAGTTCTGATTTCCCTTTTACTATCAATAACAACACGGGCTGGATTGTGGTGGCCTCTGAGTTGGATCGTGAGGCTGTGGACTTTTATAACTTTGGTGTTGAAGCCCGGGACCATGGTAGCCCTCCAATGACCTCTTCAGCCAGTGTCAGCATTACCATTCTGGACGTCAATGACAACAACCCTGAGTTCACTCAGAAGGAATATACCATGCGTCTCAATGAGGATGCTGCTGTGGGCACCAGTGTCCTTACAGTTTCTGCTATTGACCGGGATGTCAACAGTGTCATTACTTACCAGATCACCAATGGGAACACTCGCAATCGCTTCTCCATAACCAGTCAGAGTGGCGGTGGCCTCATCACCTTGGCTCTGCCCTTGGATTACAAATTAGAGCGCCAGTATCTGCTTACTATTACAGCCTCTGATGGCACTCGGCTTGATACAACCCAAGTCTTTGTTAATGTCACGGATGCCAATACACATCGGCCAGTGTTTCAGAGCTCCCATTACACTGTTAACATAAATGAGGACAGGCCAGTGGGTACCACGGTAGTGATTATTAGTGCCACAGATGAGGACACAGGAGAGAATGCCCGTATCACGTACTTCATGGAAGACAGCATCCCTCAGTTCAAGATTGATATGGACACAGGTGGTGTCACTACCCAGATGGAACTGGACTATGAGGATCAGGTGTCCTACACTTTGGCAATTACAGCCAGGGACAATGGTATCCCACAGAAATCAGACACCACCTACCTGGAGATATTAGTCAATGATGTAAATGACAATGCACCTCAATTTTTAAGGGATAGCTACCAAGGGTCTGTATATGAAGATGTCCCAGCTTTCACTAGTGTCCTGCAGGTTTCTGCCACTGATAGAGACTCTGGGCTGAATGGGAGGGTGTTCTATACCTTTCAGGGTGGGGATGATGGTGATGGAGACTTCATAATTGAATCCACCTCAGGTATTGTTAGGACTTTGCGTAGATTAGATAGGGAGAACGTCCCATTGTATGAGCTTAGAGCTTATGCAGTTGATAAGGGTATGCCAGCCATGAGGACCCCCATTGATGTGCATATTACTGTTCTTGATGTCAATGATAATCCTCCTGTCTTTGAACAGGATGAGTTTGATATCTTTGTTGAGGAGAATAGCCCCATTGGGTTAGTGGTGGCACGGATCACTGCCAGTGATCCAGATGAGGGCACTAATGCTCAGATAATGTACCAGATAGTGGAAGGCAACATTCCCGAGGTCTTTCAGCTTGACATCTTCTCAGGAGAGCTGACAGCACTGATGGATTTGGATTATGAGGCCAAGTCGGAGTATGTTATTGTGGTCCAGGCTACTTCAGCTCCACTCGTAAGCCGGGCTACTGTGCATGTCTGTTTGCTGGATAAGAATGACAACATTCCTGTCTTGAAGAACTTTGAGATCATCTTCAATAACTACATCACTAACAAGTCTAGCAGTTTCCCCACTGGTGTGATTGGCAGGATCCCAGCCTATGACCCTGATGTTTCTGATACTCTAACCTACAGTTTTGAGCAAGGCAATGAACTGCAGCTGGTACTTCTGAACCACAGTACTGGAGAGCTACGGTTGAGCAGAGCCCTGGATAACAACAGGCCTTTGGAGGCAAGCATGAGAGTATCTGTGTCAGGTAAGGTGGTGATGGGATTGCTGTGAATTTTGGGCCAGATCAGAGTGTCCAAGGTAGAAACCATCTTTTGAAACCATCTCTTCCAACTTCCAGTGCCTTGTTCCAAGTTCTCCTGCCTCAAATTGTGGCTGAGGCTGAATGTAGCTTTTAATCACATCTGCAAACATTTTTCCTGATGGAAGACTAACTCTTAAATGACAGTTAAGAATATTGTGTGAATAGGTAGATGTTTACGATAGTGTTCGCCAACCTGGTTGGTCTCCAGATGTGTTGTGCTGCAATTCCCATCATTCCCAGCTGGGTATTGTAGTATAACACATCAGGAGGCACCAGGTCAGGGAAAGCTAGTTTAGCATTAGCAAGCATTTATATGGCTGTCTTTTCTGTTTCTTTTCATACATTGGTTTTGTGGAAGTCAGAATTGAGTGGTGGCTGTATAACAGCCAAATGATGAACTGGTCTGGGGCATGTAGTTTCAGCTTGGCTACTCAGTCTTTATTCTAAAACAGTTGAAGCTGCAGCATTCCATGCATAGATGTTCAACAGACAACTACTTTTCCAGCCAAACAACCTTCTCTCCCCAGTCCCATTTTCCTTTCTTTTTGAATAGAATCAACCACTTAATGCTAATCCCATATAAAATTGACCTTTCTTGCATGCAAATTGAATGCATGATGATTTGACAGCACAATTGCAGCCTTTGATGACCTAGGCCCTGTGGATGAGGTGGTGTGAAAGGAGTGCAAGGTGGGTGTATTCTGTGATTATTCATTTGTATAATGGATCTGACTTCCATGAGGGTTCTCAGCCAGGAAGGCAGGGAGACAAGGACTCAGTGTAGTTTCCTGGGAAGATATGTGGCTGGCCTCTGAGACATGTCCTCGTTTCTCCACGCCATTGCAAAAGGACATGCTCCTACAATATACAGTTGGAAGGCTCATGCTGTTGTAAGTTTGCTAGTCTGCAAGGCAGGGATGGGGAACATGTGGCCTCCCAGTTTTTGCTGGACTACAAGGCCCTGGCCAGCATAGTTAATGATGAAGAGAGCTGCGAGCTGCAGACCAACAGCATCTGAGGAGTCCCTGCTTGAAGCTGTCATAGAATCATAGAATAGTAGAGTTGGAAGGGGCCATGAAGGCCATCGGGTCCAATCTCCTGCAGTTGCAGGATACCAAGTCACACCGTCCCACTCAGATGGCCGTCCAGCTGCTTTTTGAATGTCTGTAGTGTAAGAGAGCCCACCACCTCTCTATGCAGCTGGTTCCACTGTTGTGTCGCTCTGACAGTGAGGAAGCTTTTCCTGATGTCCAGCCTGAATCTGGGCTGTCGTAACTTGAACTGATTATTCCACGTCCTATGCTCTGGCATCAGCAGGAAGAGATCTTGACCTTCCTCTTTGTGACAGCCTTTGAGATACTTATAGAGGGATATCATGTCCCCATCCCCATCTTCTCTTCTCAAGGCTGAACATGCCCAGTTCTCTGTCTCTCCTCACAGGGCAGTGTCTCCAACCTTGGATCATTTTTGTTGCCCTCCTTCGTGCCCTTCTATTTTTTTCTGCATCTTTCTTAAATCTTGGTGCCCCAAACTGTCACAAGACTGTTTATTGTTTTTGCTGCTGCAGATGAACAAACTGCAATTCTACAAGTGCAGTTCCTGCCTGAGGTTGATACAGGGTGGGGAAAATCTGCTAGTACAGTTGAAGGTTGTTTTGTCCCTTTAATTAGGCAGATAGTCTTCTTTTCCTACACTGCTGCTTCCTTGGGATCCCCTATTTCAGAGCCTTGCAGTTAAATTGAATTAATTAAATTAAGTGTTGCAATTGTAATGTAGAGTTTTGCTGTATATGCAGAGAGAGAGAGAGAGAGAGATCAGAGAATGGTATGTAGCACACATCCAGCACATTCCCATGGGGTTAAGAGCTTGTAAAATGGCCAGTGGCAAAAATCCCTTGAGGGAGGAATTTGGAGGATGACTGGTGAAATGTTCCTCTATAGCAGGAATATATGGAGGATGTTGAAGAATTTGATTGTGCACAGCGACAGCATCCTTTTAATTTACTTCAGCCTGCTGGATGTGGATGCCAAGAAGGGAGAAGTCATGCTCCAAATCAGCTCAACCATGCAAGGTTTGGTTATATGTAGCTTCATTCACAAGCCTATTAAGCTTGAAATACCACAGTGGGATTAAGCATCTGGAATAAAAGGGCAATGTGGCACAAATGTTTACTGCATCACAATATGTGGTATGTAGTACACATCCAAAATTAATGCTTTTGGTTATTTTCAGTTACTCACTTGCAGATAATATGCCATCATTTCAATGCCAGGTTAGAATGTTGGAAATGACTTGGAAAATGTTGGAAATGACTTGGAAAAGTGCAGCCCTTTTGGTGTGTTTGTGTGCGTGGTAAGGGAGCACCATGAATATAAATGCTGTTGGCACTGATGCATGGTAAAGACATATTTGAATAGATAGGCAGTTTGTAGGTGTGTGAGCCATAACAACCTTGCTGTGGCTTTTCTTGGTACTGTCCTGTGTTTGAGGAAGCTTTGGGCCATATGCCTGAGGAGGCTTACCAAGCTATGGACAACAGTGCTCGGAGTGGCACTGGACAGCTGACTTTAGCTGTTAATTAATTTCCCATAATGCCTCTGGCATAGCTTTGTCCTGATACATGGTGGGAAATACCCAGCTGCCTGGTGCTGCTTGAGTGCCAGGCCAAATTTTTGTTAAAGTGGGGCAGGGATGGTGTCCAAGATTGTTGGCTGTTGATGGCAGGTCTGTCCAGGCCCCCATGACTGGACCATGAGTGAGGAACTAGGGGTGAGAGTGTATCTGAAGAAGGTGGGGAAAATCACTTGGACTGATTGGATATTGCCTACAGGCCTTGCATTGTTTATCTCCTCCTTTTAGAAGTTCATCATAAATATCATAGATCAAAGTGTCATCACTCATGTATGCAAAGTTTCCTATTTTGCAAATCCAAATTCAGGCATTCTTTGAAACAGATCAGGTGTCTTGGTAAGGTGCTTGCTCAGTATATCTCTTTCTTACCCATGGGCAGAAACTTCAACCCCGCTTCTGTAGCAGAAATTAGAGGTTTGGAGAAAGTAGGCTACGAGGACAATGCGTTTAACTCCTTGCTTCTCAGGATTCAGCCTCTTAGCCTCCACAGATGGCAGTTTGCTTTAGGCAAATGAAGATGAGGTGTGGTGCCTCAACTGTGGTCCATAGCTTAGGCAACAGTAATTGCTCATAGAGTAATTCCTACAAGAAATGAGGAGCAGAAATGGGATGGGAAATGTTTTACGTCATGCCCCCCTTGGAATTCCTTCAAAGAGCCTAGTCTAGCCTGGTCTGACCAGCATCTAAAATTACTTTCCTCCTTCAGAACAGTAACTAGTTATTACTTGTCTGCTCCTTTCTTGGGCCCTTGTAGTAGCACCTGTTCTACAAGGTTTCTGCTGGGAATTGAGTTTATGGTCCAAATTTTGCTTGTGATGCAGTTGTCATCTGCTTGCAGAGACTGATAATAACAGAGAGTTACAACATGTACAACCTGAAGTGAAGTCTGCCAACTGCCAGTGGCAATCCTGACAAGGTAGCTTCAGCAGGGCTGCAGGACTGGAGGTGTATGTGGTACAGGTGGGTGGCAGTCATGCCTGAAAAGAGCTGGTCAGTTCGCAGGGCATGTTGGAGATCATGTAGCCAATATTTGTTATAGCCAAATACTGTTTGCTTTGGGTGGTCATCAGAGGTAGGTTGTTCACGCACCTGCTTTGAAAAAAAGGCAGTAACAGACACTTCAGGTGATTTCATGACATCCTAGGGATTTTTTTTTTAACTCAACTCTTATCAAAGCTGAGATCTGTTTTGTAGAGCAAATCTGGTTTCGTGCAGTTGAAGCCCACTGATTCTTGTTCTTATTTCAGTGGCAAAATAAATCACTTGCTTTCAGTTTAATTTATGGCAGTATCAAATCTATGTTACTTAGCTGTATTTTCTGTAGGCTAAATAATTCAAGTGTTGTCAGTCAGTCTTCATGTCAGGATCTTGCATTTAGATCCACGCATTTATTTTCTTCCCTTCCTTTTCTCTAATTCTAGTAATGGAAGTATATATCCTCCTTTATCTATCACAGCTTTCCCCAACCTGTTGTTCTCCAGATGTTTTACTTCAGCTCTTTTCAGTTCCAGCCAGCATAACCAATGTTCAGGAATGCTGGGAGGCTATAGTCCAAAATGTCTGGAGGGGATCATGTTAGGGATGTCTGGTTTATGGTGTCCAAACTGGGTTTGCTATGTTCTGCTAAAGCCAACCCCAGATAGCATCTATTAAAAAACAAGGACAACTCCATTATCAAAGTGAACATTGTACGTCTCCATCACACAGAGCAGCCTAGCATCTTAGGACTACAACTCCCATCATCTGAAGACAGCATGTAAAAGGCCGGTTTAGACTAAGAAAGGCTCATGTTCTGGTGAAGCTGTCAAGGCTGGAATGTATTGTCTGGTTACTGGCTTTTGTGGGAGCTTTTAAGTGCCAAGTCAGGACTTGCCGAGCTAGTGCAGAATGCAGTTAATACTTTTTTAGTCAATCTTCCTAATAGGGTAGGTGTACTTTCTTCTGCTTCTAAGTGCTGCAATTAAACATTCCAGATGAACACAATCGCTACAGGGAGAGGTTAGGAGTGCATACAGAGCAGAGAGAAACTCTTTTGTCCCAGGAGCACCAATGGACATTTCCCTCTTATTAATGCTGCCCTCCATAGCATGGGAGATGCTGGCAGGCCTGACTGCCAGAGACCAATTTGGAGATGATCAAGAGCAGCTGTCTCTGAGTTCCAGCAATTAAACTCTCAGCATGGTGGCTAAAGATTGCACCTGCTCTGTGGGGCTACGAGTACAGGAACTGGGGAATACTGCACCGTGGATAGATCGGAGTGCAGATAATATCCGTGGCCCCTGGCTGTCATCAGAGCTCTGCTGAATGGCATT